AATCTGTCAAATTTTGAGGAAAAACAATAAAATTTGGTTTCATCGCCTAGATTATTAGCGTAGTTATTTCATTAATCAAAGAGATCAAAGACGACAATTGTTCCGCTCATACAGTTCTCTTCGTATATACTAATACAATCAAGGTACTAATGCAAGGACTAATTGCGGTCGCGTATACTCTGCGTACGTATTGAAACCAGTTCTCTCTGGGCGGAATTAGTAAACAAGAATAGATGCATCATGCAGTGTTTGTTTAGTATCCGAGGAGGTTAAAAGCATTAAATTTTGATAATTTTGAAAATTCACATAATAGTTTCTTATGACCAGAATATGTCATAGATTATTTTGTGAAAATGGATTCCATGTCAGACTGTGACATCCGTCTTGTGTTTGCTTTTCCGCCCAACGACGACAGTACACTACAGTACAAAAAATGCGTACACCTCTGAAATAAGTTTCCTTGTATTAGTACCTTGAATACAATGAAGACAACTTTCGATTTTTATTTTTATTTCTACTTCAAGCTGACAACCATCATGGATATTGGATACACATAAACATAACAAGAAGAAGCTGCCAATTTACAGCTTCTCTTTGTTTACTTGTAAACTTGTAACTTAAAAAAAGCTTATTATAAATCCAAATAATAAAGTCTTCTTCATTGTATTGATATACACGTCGACCGCCTTAGCTGGTTTTTACTGAAACTATTTCCTAACCTTTTTCTTTCAAAAAAGTGATTGATTAGGCGTATGCTGAGAAAGAGAAGGGTATGAGGAGTATTAACTCTCATCTAGAGATGACCGTACTAGAACTTCAGGTCAAATTTTAAAGATTGTTCATAAGATTTATTTCGTAATTTTTGTTTGTGAAAATTCATATTTAATGTTAACTACAATCTGACGGTTCTTCACACAAAGACGACATTAAGTTTGAAAATGTATAAGGGCTAAATCACATTTTTTGTATAATTTATGTAAACAGCTCAGTTAATAATTTTAACTTTTATGGACTCGACTGTAGACACAATTTCAAGTTATCCTCCATTTTGGTTTTATTTATATGTTCTTATTCTGATTTTAGGATCGACTGGACAGACAAATGCGAGTACGGAAGGAAAAAAAAGGAAATAGTCCGAGTTCAGATAGTCTAGATATTGCAGGTAGTCATCCTAGTTCAGATAGTCTAGATATAGCAGATAGTCATCCTTGTTCAGATAGTCTAGATAAAGCAGGTAATCATCCTAGTTCAGATAGTCTAGATATAGCAGGTAGTCATCCGAGTTCAGATAGTCTAGATATAGCAGGTAGTCATCCTAGTTCAGATAGTCTAGATATTGCAGGTAGTCTAGGTATAGCAGGTAGTCTAGATATAGCATCAGGTAGTCTAGATATAGCAGGTAGTCTAGATATAGCAGATAGTCTAGATATAGCAGATATTTAGAGAACTGAGATCAGCCAAAAGCGTAATCTCAAGTGACCCTTCATGCAAAGATGGCAATACCCGATTTACAATGGTACTCTTAAAATCTTTAACTTATCAAGTATGAATTAAATATCAATGTTTATTATTAAAGAAAATATATAGGATGTATCAAACACTTTTATCTTCCACATTATTAATCAAAGAAAGGTTTCAAGGGTACCGTTGTGAATTTGGCATCACTGTCATAGGAATGAGGGGTCACTTAAAATTACACTCTCCTCCCCACCTTTCTCTTCTATAGAGGTCCCTCTCTCTAGTCCCATACTTATTGAAGGAGAGAGAATAGGTAAATCAGCCCCCTCCACTACTCCTTCTCACCCCTCTCCAACTCCTTCCCATCCCCTCTCTTCCTCCTTAACCCCCCCTCCTCCTTACTCAAGGTTCCAAGGATCCCGAGGGTGGGAAAGAGGACTAGATTGCCCCCACCCCTGAATTCGCTTCAGACTGAAAATAATTATTATCATATTTTAAATTCAATTTTTGAATTAAGAGGTTCCCCTTCGTTGCAGTCTCCAGAGATAGGGTCAGCTCACAGTGCTCTAAACAGGTTATCTATCTATTCTACACTCGTTCAACTCTCTCTGAAAGGGCCTGTCGACGTAATTTCAAGTGGCACTTCAATCAAAGAGTAAATGCCCGATTTGATTTAATTAGACCCTCATAACCTCTGTTTTGGTAGCAATTAGCGACTTTTATATTATTATTAAGATAAATTTGTAAATAAAGGAAATTATGGTTGATTTTTATTATTGTTATTATTGGGTACCATGGTGAATTAGGCATAATTCTGTTTTAAAAGAGGGTTACTTGAAATTATGTCCCCAGCCGGGCCCCGGCCTTTAACATGTTGTTCGCCATATCTGATAACCAATTTCGCAGCAACAATTTTTGCTTCTAGTTGTTGCTCTGAAAATGACCATTTTAATCATTCTCAAATTTTCGCGAATTTTTCCATTAAAATCGGCGCATTTTCAAAAAAAAGTAGTCATTTTTCCGGTTTAAAATTTTTATTTTGACGGTCCATAAACCTTACCTGGAATCTTGTGAATGTGGGTAGCCTTAAAAAATATGTGCGCAATCGGCTCAGCCCTTTTTGACGTTTATTGAACATATGAACATATGAACATAAATTGGCTTAATATTCTATTTCTTAGACTATAAGTATCCAATAAATGCCAAGCAAAAACTAACAAACAAATTTGGCATAAAACTCAATTCCCATGTTTATTGGAACACCATGGTTTTCATTACAAGTACAGTCATCTTCGTTTATATCAATACAATAAAGACGACTTTAGATTTTAATTTTTTATATCTATCAAGCTTCCAAACAGCATGGATACACATAACACAAACTTTGAAACAAAGAAAAGCTTTCAATTAACAGCTCTTCTTTCTATACTTATAAAATTTAAAATTATAAATCAAAACTTTAATAAAAAGTCGTCTTCGTTGTATTGAAATAAACGCCGACCACTGCACTGTAGAAAAACTGTTTATTTTTTGTTTAGAGACCTTCCAAGCAGTACGAATGGGAAGGGTCACTGAGCTAGGGCTTGAAAATAGAGTTTATTTACACATTTTTTAAAACTATTTTATTTCATGAATTTTATTTTATCTACTAATTATCAATTTATTTTTGCAAATATAAACTTAAATATATATTGTCCATTGTGCTTTGGTTGTAAAATATACATAATATAATTTTAACTTGTTTTTCTGCATGAACAATGTACTCCAGGGGAGCAAAGAGAGAGGGTATCCTGCCTCCACCAATGGCCAATGGGCCGCCCCCCCCTTAAAAAATAAAATGTTGTAATAACTTTAATTTACATAAACGAAGATGCAAATGCAATTTGTGCAAATGCTTCGATTTTTCTCAAATTTTTAATCAATTTTCTCGTTAACATAAATATTCTTGAGATGATCAATGTATGATTTCATATAAATAATATCACCTCCACCCCNTTTTACACTATAGGACGGGTTGTTTTTTTCTATACCTGAATTGAGAAGATGTCTATAAAAGATAATAAATACTGGTGCATGAAACAATAGAGTAGTACTTGGTAGTTCTTTATACAATCCTTACATTATTTTTATTCATATATAATAATATTAAATATATATATATATATATATATTGAAAAGTTTAATTCTTTTTTTATGAAATGTGAAGTTCAAAACTGAAATATAATAATATTTATTATTTCTTTGATACACAGTCGCCGTAGTGCATATTAATACAATAAAGACAACCTTACATTTTAATTTTATTTATACCAGGGTTTAAAACATAGAGAATAAAATATATATTAGAGGGGAATTAAGAAAAATCTCTCGGTATGAATTATTTTCAGTTTAGCCTATTTCATAATTTAGTTTTCTTTTAATATTAATTTTAGATTTTCTATAAAATGATATCCCAGGGCCCAAAAGGTTATATAGCATAAATATGTGAAGTACGCCTGCAGTATGGAAACAGTACAACAAAATGGCCTTTTTACACTTTTCTCTAGTAAATTCCCCTCTAATATATATTCTATTCTCTTTGGTTTAAAACAACTCAGACACTTAAACATTTAAACAAAAAGTTGTCAATTAACAGCTTCTCATTGTTTACTTATAAACTTGTAATTTGCAAAATGATTGTTAGGATCAAAGAATTATTTATAAAGTCATGGTATAATCGCCGACCATTTTCATTATTGTTTTAAAACTCTGATAATTTGGAAAGATTTATTTATTTATTTTCGATTGATATATTATTATTATAAAGATTTATTCACGCACAAAGATATAAATACATATATAAATTGTCTAGTTTAAGTAATTTGAATATATAGTTTCACAAAAGAAAAAAAGAAAAATATGCAAAATTATGCACAAATAGGCGACATTGATCATTACTTATTACATAACATATTTATCATTTCAGTTATTTCGTAATCATCAAATCCTTCAACATATAAATTATTCGTTCTTATATTTAAAAGTTCTTGTAAAACCGGAACTTTCCATGCATGGTCCAATGGGCCATCAAAATATTTCATTTGTTTCCTAACCAACATTTTACTAAGATCAGAAAGATTTACAAAACAATCATTTGCAATGGAAAATAAAATTCTGCCAAGAACTGTGTTAAGGTCATTTTTACATAAATTAGAAAGAAATCTAATGCAAAGCTTAGAACTTGCTTCAATAGTCTCATAGAAAGACACACATCTACAAGCTAACATTGTTTTTACAATCAAACATTATAAAATACTTTCAATCAAGTACCTATATATTCAAATTTCTTACTGAAAAGTTATATATTTAAAGGGGGTGTTCGCGATAAATCTTAGTTGGTGCAGTGGGGTGCTTTAAAGTTAGGAATATAAATACGACAATTAAATAAGCTTCTGTGAAGATGGGTCTCACTGCTTCAAATGAATTTAAATTATGAATCGCTTCCATCTGATGTATCTGATGGGAGAGTTATGCAATGCTACTGTTAGGGGAGGGGGGGGGGG